CAGTAAATTAATGTATGCCGCTGCAAGTGAAAAAAAAAAAGTACTCACATGAAATCTCTGGCACTTTGATAACTGGGAATTTGGTGGTACTGAACAACCGGAATTATTTGGTAAAACGGTTTCACTATCGTACAATAACCGTTTTTCATTCTCCGTCATTACGACCAATCGAAGATGAGACTCATTTAGCTTCATATCTTTCCAACTACTGCAAAAACATTCATCAAACATAAACTGAAATTCGCTTCAAATTTAAATAAAATGAAATCTTTGAAAAACTGTGAACGACTGTAGCCAATAAACAACCGAAAGAGAAAATCAGGCAAAAAACTGACCTATTAAAAAAAAATTTTTTTTTTTTTTTTTATAACGCTAACAGTATCCATCAACAGCGGTTATAGGTAGAGATGTTTCAATTATATAACCCCGTCGCTACCCAGCCACCACATTCCTCTTCCCATCCCGTTGCTTTCAGTTATAGATAAATAACCAAAAACTGTATATGTGTAAACAAAAAAATTCCACAGAGATGATAATAACAAATCTCTTACAAAAATTTTCCTTTTGTGCTTAAAAAAACAAACCAAAAAGAAAACCAATAATCAAAAGCTTAAAAATATGAGGTGATGTTAATAACAAGCATCTAGCGAACACTCAAATTTTCATCATTAACTGTTTACTCAAAAGATAAAAATGCCCACTTCAAGGCTACATTTAATCAACAACAATTCTTCCTAAACGTCTGCTGTATCGTAAAACCAAAAAGAAAATAATAGAAAAAACCTCTAAATTCACCCCCAATCTTTCAAAAAACAGCATAGCTTACTCCCGAAAACCATATAACAGCTGAGAAGTCTTTCAACCCTTTCAACTTTAAAATAAAAAATAAAAGTTGCTAGACATCAATAATACATCTCTTTAATCATTTAATTCAAAATTAATATTGTAAAATGATCTTTTTTCTTTTCACTCTTTTCTTTGTCTTCCCATTGACTTGTCTATCATTTGCGAATAGCACAGACGTCATTTCACACTAAAAACTAAATTAGCCTTAAAATAAACAAATCCCTTTTGAATCTTTTTTCTCCTCCGTTCCTCTTCCACTTTTTTCACTCAATTTTCTCCTTGCAAAAAGGACAACACAGTAAACAACTACCACTGAATACACACGCACACCAAAAAAAAACTCCAGACAAAAAAGTTGTTATTGAAGCATAACAGAAAAAGCACTTTCAAACCTTCCAATTACATAGACTATGCTGAGTCAACATTAATAAATTTAAGACCGCACGAGAGTCAAAAAACAATAGACTAACTAGAAGTTAGGTCTATCTGACCGATCCTTCCTTCTTCTTTTTTTGCTAATTGTGAAACTGATAGCAGTTCTAAATTCCAACAAATAAAAAACAATTAAAAGAAAAAATAAAGCGTCGGAAAAAAATATATTCCGTTAAATTAAAAAAATTCTACATTCATTAACCCATCCACTCGTCTGTTCATCTATTTAGCAACAAATCACATCAAACAAACACAAACCCATACACATCATAAAGTAACAGCAAAATGACCGAAGTAACAGAAGAAAAGAATCATTAAAAGAAACTTTGATACTACAAAAAAAAAAGTAATACGCCACAAAGAAAGCAACAAAATTGGGGTAGAAAGCAGGAAAAATAGTGAAGAAAAGAGGCAAAAAATTCTGTAAATCCGCTTTCGAATAAACAGGAAGAAATCATTTAATGCTCAAATTTGAAAAAATACTAACCAAAATACAACAATAAAAAAGAACAAGATAAAAAGAAATGAAAAAAATGAAAGAATAAATAATTTATATGAAGAACTAAAACAGAAAATGAAAAAGAAAAAAATATTCATTCACTCAACAGTATTCTTCCTCTTTTCTTTAACCACCTTATCTTTCCTGTTTCCGCAACTAAAAACATCACCGACCCCACTCATTCTCCTTTAAAACATTCCTTAACCATGCCGCATAAAAAAACTATTCTCCCATCTTTCTTTTGCCTCTCCAACTGAAAAACATTGCAAAAAATAAATACAGAAAATCGCTTTAATTTTCGATAAAAAATTTAAGGCAAGAAAGTACGGCAACTCATGATACTATAACCGTAGCTGCATATCTACAGACAGAAATGAATGAAAAAGAAGTGAACAACAACAAGAACACAAGTGAAAAACCACTGAACAGCGTTTGGAAAAGTAGATAATAACCTACAGTTTTTTTCATAAAATGCGCACAAAACAGCTCCATGAAATCGAATCAAAATTTGTGACCATTTGCCAGTGAAAAAAATGCTCTTTCTTTTTCGTTTCATGAGGAAACAATTCAACAAGCCTTAACATTGACTTCAGCTTTTCTACTTGTCATAAGTTCTACACCAACATGTAAGTCTGACAGTTCTCTTCTTTTTTGCAAATCCCATCCTCCACTTCCCTCAACACCCCAGTAAATGCTACAACAATTTTTTACTCAATACCAATTTTCCTAAACAAAACAATATAACACCAGTCGGCAAGGCTCTGCTGCAATGGTTTCCGCCCAATTCACCTACTAAGTTGACCAATTTGATCCCGAACATCAATTTTAGCTGGGAGTGTTCTCAAAGTTGCAAAAATATGTATTGCTTGCCTCCTTTTTGTACAAAAATGGAAATTTTTTAAAATTCCCAACTAAATTTCTAAGGCCTACCATCTCAAACAGGCCAGTGAACAAAATAAGTGTTGAAGAAGCAATTTGTTTCAATGCAAACAGACGACATACAGCAGTGAAGCCATTAAAGTATGGTTGCAAAGAAAGGGTTTGCTCTCAAATAAAAAAAAAAACATCAAGGAACAACACAAAAAATGCTCAGTTTTTTCAACAGTTTAACAAACTGTTGCATTTCAAGTCAAACGTGAATGAATTCCTTTGCCTAAAATGCCAATCAAAAATTGAAACAACAACTACGGCAACAACAAAGGACGAACTAACTCAGGCGTAATTAGAAATAAACACTAAAAAATACATAAGCAAAAACAAAAAAAAAAAAAA